GAGTTCTAAGTATGTTTTTATCATTTTGATTGATGCATTTGTTGCAAAGATATGTAATACAAAGATAGATTACATGATCAGTACGTACTGGTCCCTGCTGACAAAGCAGGTAACAATATTGTCTTTGTTTGTAAGACTCATTATATTAAATGTATTTTAGAGGAACTTGGATTTAATTCTACAAGTGGTAATCCAACTTATACTCATAGTTCCCTTTCTAAGGAAGAACTGTGGCAAATCACAATCACACGGAAATCCTTTTTATCATTTATTATGGCGATTAAAGGCAAATAACAAATCCACAGGGGTTAACAATCACAATACCACATTGGCTAAGATATTCAGAATGTTTTCTGATATATACTTAATCTTTGTTTTCAATCGAATCTCAATCTTTTTCTCAATCTGATCTATGATCACAAAAATTGTCACTTATATACTATGAAGGAAACATCTAGAAATAGAAAGTTCTGTAAAATTCTAGGTCATCATATTCTCACATATTCTAGAGAATTCTTGATTATTCATTCAAGTAACATGTAGAACATTCTAGATTTCACATAATTAAATCAATTCATTAAATTTCTATAAAAGTTCTTGAAATTGCGACTGTTCACAACAAGAACTTCTTCAAAATCATATGTCAGATTTGAATATTTTTAATATTCCAAACAACCAAAATGAATTCGAATTACCATATTTATATTGGATTCCGAAACTTCATAAAAATCCTTACAAACAAAGATACATAGCGGGTTCCAGTATATGTTCAACCAAGCCTCTATCTTTACTCCTCACTAAGATATTAACAGTGGTGAAGGAGAAACTTCAAGAGTACTGTGCAACAATATATTCGAGAAGTGGTGTAAATCAGATGTGGATACTTAAAAATTCCAAGGAACTTTTGGAAAATTTGAAATCACAAGATTTTACCAAAATCAACAGCTTTAAAACTTACGACTTTTCAACTTTATACACAACCATTCCCCACGATAAATTAAAGTCCAGGCTTTTTGATATCATTGACAGCTGCTTTTTCAATAAAAATGGAACTCGTAAATATACTTACCTTGTCATTGGTCATTTGCAAAATTATTTTGTTAAAAAACATTCTGATTGTACACACAAGTACTCTGAAGTTGACATTAAAAAGATGCTTGAGTTTCTTATTGACAATATCTATGTGGTTTTTGGAGACCAGGTCTTCCAACAATCTATTGGAATTCCCATGGGTACCAATTGCGCCCCGTTATTAGCAGACCTTTTTTTGTATTCATATGAAGCAGAATTTGTCCAAAATCTTGTACGTGAAAAGAAGAGAACACTTGCTGTGGTCTTCAACTCGACATTTAGATATATCGACGACGTATTGTCAATTAACAATGGCTATTTCCATTCTTATGTCGATAGGATATGTCCTGGTGAACTTGAGATAAAAGATACCACAGAGTCTGACACATCTGTTTCATATTTGTATATTTTACTTGAAAAAGATGTTAATGGTAATCTAACAACCAAGCTTTATGATAAACGTGATGACTTTAACTTTTCAATCGTCAACTTCCCTTACTTATGCAGCAATATACCTTCATCACCTGCATACGGGGTATATATCTCTCAGTTGATTCGATACGCAAGAGCATGCTCTACGTATGTATAATTTCTAAAACGAGGTAAATTATTGACAAATAAGTTGATGAAACAAGAATATCAGCTGTCTCGTTTTAAAGTCATCATTTCGTAAGTTCTATGGTCGATACAATGGCCTTGTCAGCAAATACAATTTATCATTGAGTCAAATGCTGACTAACGTTTTTCATACTAATTGTTAGGCCATTATTTACACACTGAATTGTCGACGGATTTTTCCGTGATTTCCCGATCATGACAAGGAGCACACGGCAGGTGTGACCGGTCGGCAGGGGATGCTCACTCCTCCATGGCACCTGATCCCACCTCTGATGTTTGGAGGTCCGTGTTTGCTCTGCTCCTATTTTGTATTGTTTAATGGACTTTTGAGCTTGAATACTGTTCGTTAACTCCATATCTTTCATATGACCGATCCAAACTTTCTCGTATTGTTGCGGGTTCGAATCCTGCTGGGGCGGGAGATTGTTTCTCTCTTTTTTCAGTTGTAAATGATATTTTTCTCTGTGAAGACATGTATGATAGTTTTTGCTTATTTTTAAAAGCTTTTTTAACAGAGATTCTACAGAAATCCTTTAATAATCATGATCTATGTTGAAAGACTGTGTTACATAAATGCGAACAAAAAATACCTTCAATAAAGTATGAAATGAAGTGAGGTAGCACAGTGATCTGGAGAAAAGTTCGGTTGGAAGACCACTTGTTGCCCTAGCAACAAGAAACGCATCTTGTTATTATTATTTTTCTTCCTGGGTACTTTTTTGTCCGTGAGTGATCTCCGAAACTATACATCCGATTGAGTTGAAACCTTTTTAGGGTTAATAGGAATGTTATGTAGATTTGCGGAACGAAGGTCATTTTGCGCGCACGTGCATGCACGTGCGTGCGCGTGCAATGAGTAAAATGACAAATATACTTGATATAGCCATAACTTTCATATCTTTTGATGAAATACTTTGATACTCAGAATATAAGGATATATTAATAGTGTAGACAAGATGACATGGTCAGAATGCACATGCATGCACATGCGCGCATGCGCATTGATTGAAAAAACTAATACAATTGATATAGACTTAACTTGTACATTTTTTGATGAATTGCTTTGACACTCAGAATATAAATATATATTAGAAGTGTAGACAAGAGGACTTGATTAGTGCACACATGCATGCACGTGCGTGCACGTGCAATGAGTAAAATGACAAATATACTTGATATAGCCATAACTTTCATATCTTTTGATGAAATGCTTTGATACTCAGGATATCAGGATATATCAATAGTGTAGACAAGATGACATGGTCAGAATGCACATTCATGCACGTGTGCGCATGCGCAATGATTGAAATAACCTATACAAATGATATAGACTTAACTTGTATATTTTTTGATGAATTGCTTTGAAACTCAGAATATAAATATATATTAGAAGTGTAGACAAGATGACATGATCAGCGCGCACATGCATGCATTTGCATGCACGTGCGTGCGCGTGCAATGAGTAAAATGACCAATATACTTGATATAGCTGTAACTTTTATACTTTTTGATGAAATGATTTGATACCCAAATATGTAGATATATTAATAGTGTTGACAAGATGACACGGTCATATTGGACATGCATGCACGTGCGCGCGCGTGCAATGCGAAAAATGACAGATATACTTAATATAGCCGATTTTTTTTATCTTTTAATGAAATTTGAATATAAAGATGTATTGAAAGTGTAGACAAGTTGACATGGTCATTTTGTACATGCATGCCTGTGCGCGCGCATGTAATGCGTAAAAAAAAACCCAATATACTTGATTGCCTTATTCAATGAAGCTTACAGGGAATAAGACACCAAAAGGAAGTTGGGGAGCGTTTGGGGAACATCTGTAACGGTCCCCGTTACAATTAATACTAGTTCCTTTCCATGTGTAAACCAATGCAAAATTGCCACATCATTTATTTATACATCAGTCGATACGTTTCTGATCACTTATTACTTATATACATCACAACTGAACGTTTTGTTTTTCCTCAACTAATTTCAGTGATTGTTTTTGATGCCCGGTGATGAAGCTGCTCTTTGCCAGTTTGTATGAGGATTTAATTTTTATCAGCCAATCAGCTGTGTGAGAGATCTGTGAGAGATATTCAAATGATTGACCATTCATTTGATGATTGTGAAAGCAAACATAACATTGTTGTAACTTTTATTGCATCCCTTCACTTGAATATTAAAATAAATTATAATTATTTTTTTATTCTATAATGTGTTGTTTTATATTAATATATCATGGTTATTGTAAACAAATTTGCATCCAATTTTAGAAATACTTCTCTTAATATGATATTGGACTTGTACTGTATGCAAGGTTACATGTAAATATAGATAGGGGTTCAAAGGAACATTGCTGTCTATGCCAAAAGCATCAAAAATGGAGTGTCATTTAATTTTAACAGGCCCATAGGAAGCAATTTCAGTTTGGGGGGGGGGGCACAGTATTTTCAGTTGAGGGGACACTTTCAACCAAAAATTCCTTGACAAGCAAAAAAAAAAAAAAAAAAGAAAAGGTCATTAAATGTTTTTATTGAGGGGGCACAAGCGTATAGTAGCTCTGTTTTCTATAATAATCTATATATCGGCAAAATTATTGGCGGCACGCCCCCCCCCCCCCCCCCCCCGTTCCTACGGCCATATTTAATGTGTATTTGCTAAATGACCTGAGCATGTGAAAAAAAGGCCGACTGACAGTCTAATGAAAAAAAATTCTTAGTTACTCAAGATGTTTAACATAATGGCAACTGACAATCTGGTGTAAATATCATTCAAAAATGCATGCCTTGGTAGAGTCAGTGCTTTTCAATGTAAAAGTTATCTCAAAAGATCATTTTGCAATCATTTCTCTTGATTTCATCTCTATAATCCACTAGATCTTGATTTCATCTCTATAATCCACTAGATCTTGATTTCATCTCTATAATCCACTAGATCTTGATTTCATCTCTATAATCCACTAGATCTTGATTTCAAAATCACATAAAATGATTGACTGGAAAGTGTATTATATATTTTTTGAGTTTTTACTGAATTTGGATGAAGTGCATTTTGAATATGATGACCAGGGAATTGAAACGAAGTGCAGTTCGTGGATTGGTATTAGAAATGATTCTGGAGGAACAGTAATTATTTTTTTATCTTCCATCACAATATATTTAAATTTTAAAAGCTTCATTCATCCAGAATTACTACTGAATACAGTTTACCCCTAAAATGATCTTTAAAAAAATGTTAAAAATCATCTTGGACACCTATATTTAACTGGTACCGGTACATTAGCTAATTAAGACTATTCTGAATCCTGATAGTGCAAAATCCGTCTTTTATTCAGACAGGTTTTATGTTTATTAACATACATATTGCATCATTTATCAAGTTATCATTCAGAGACTCAGAGTATAGTTATGATACATGTATACTGGTACATCGCACAACTTGAATAACTCTGTCCATTTTGAAGAGAGTAATTTTATCCCCTGTAACATAAGGACATGTCCAGTACTGAGCCTCTTGCATGCATCCTCAGCAAGTCCAACACGAGGCACATTTCTATGTTTCACCATCCTCTTTTGATCTTGTTTTCTCTGTCCTGTTCAGCAAAATGCAGACCAGTCTGTGCAGGCTCAAAGCTGGGATCTAAATTTAATGCTGTCTTCATGTCAGATATTGCTTCATCAAATTTACCTTTAAAAAATCAAAATTGCAACAAATAATATACTGATATACAAGGGAAATACATGTATATTGCATACTCTTAATAAATGTAAGGAAATTGCATGGAAAATACTTATTTAATTGTTGTCCAAGAACCTCAAAGAAATGTAAATGTAGCAAAATGAACCATTAAATTACATCACTGAATATCCAATAACACATGATGTTCAGTTCTCAAAGATCCTTTCATCAAAAGAGTACACTTCTTACTTAATCTATATAAAACGGTTCCTCGGTTGTAGAAAGTTATGCAGGACTTTGGATTAACATTTACACTCTTTGTGTAGTCAGCAATCGCTCCCTCAAAATCGACTTGCCTGTATTTGAGAAATCCTCTGTTATTGTAAGCCAAGGCCAACTTCTCACTCCTACAATAAATCATAAATTTTTGTGTATCAGGAAAATAAAATCATGAATGGAAGTCAGAATGGAAATATTAATGTTACTTCCCACTATACTATTGTCCATATTTTCATATACTTTCCAAGACAATAGCCTAGATCATAGCAGCATAGTACACTGTGCTGACAGAGAAAATTCGAGCTGCTTTCGTAAAACCGTGTTGAATCAAATAATTGGTGTCATTGTCAACTCACAGAAGCTGTTTGTTTGGAGTAGATTCTACTTGATTAATAAAATCTGTATACAGAGCTAACGCCCTGTCATTGTCGGAGTTTGATTCAGATGATTTGGCTTCCATAAATATCCTCTCGGCTTCCTCCATCTTTCATATTTGTTTATCAGCTTATAGCGAGTTATCTTTCTTTTCTTCTTTTTTTGGGGGGTGGGGTGGGGGGTGGGGGTTCTAAGATCTCTTTTTACAAGCATGTAGGGGCCTAGTATCGGGGAGGGACCCGCCCCTTTTTCCCAAACATATAACCGTTTAGTGTTGTAAATGTTCACTGAAAGGCCTGTTGCCCCCTCCCCCAACATTTGGTTGCAGCTAGTATATTAATTTAGTCAGAACATCCCTTGGTGGTGTACGTATTTAAGTAAAAAGTTGGAACCCCCCCCCCCCCACCAAATAGTTTTTTCATTTCTCAAAGATTCCTCAGCTAAATTGTTCAATACCCCCCTTTCTTATTCAAAACGATTCTGCCTAGCTGTTTGAATTTATATGGTTTTGGAAAGATAGGTGTTAGCGCTTAATATTATTTTATGTGATTTTTTTTTCGGGGTGGGGGGTGTTTTTCATAAAGAAAACATACAAATTGTTTTATTTGCAAATGAGATGCTTCAGAGTTTAAAACTTGTCATTGCTAATAAAATAAATATAAATCATAAATATAAATCAGAATTTCTGACCGCTGCTTTTAAAGAAATATAAAGGAACAAATATTTGATTTCTGTTAGGTGTTGGGGGGGGGGGTGCATGGAGGGGGCTGAACGATCTTGGAAATAAAAAAGAAAGTTTTTTCTCTAAGTTTGGACAACCCCTCCCTGTTTTTGATTGTCAAACATTTTTCAGTGAAGACGAAACTAAAAAAAATACCTCTTGTCATCCTAGAAAAAACATATTTTGTCATGTGAAGGCATGATCTGACTGGACAATTCGTTTATTGACCAATTAAGGGCCCTCATGGGGCAAAAAGAAAGTACATTGTTAAAATGTATATAATGATTATGATCATACACACGAAATACAATATACATATATATTAGAGGGAATTAAAAGAATTGCTTGATTGATAGAAAAGACATACAAGTAGGGGAATACCCAAAATATTTTATATGAACATAAGACTTGTTTTATAGGTATATATATTATAGTACATCATATATATATGCATACATTACTAAACCATATACTTGAAAGTATCATACTTTTACATAATTAATAATAATAAAAAACAAATTAAAAAAAATAATACTAATAAAAAAATTACATTCCTAAAATTTATGGTAATGTTTTTTGTAAAAATCTTCCAAGAGAGTTTAGTATATCTAGTTCTTCGCAATTTAGAATCCAGAATAATTTTTGTTTATCAGGCAATTTTGTAAAATGTTTTACTTTAGATGAGATCAGGTTAAATAGGTCTTCTCTTTCCTTTGTAAATTTGACAATCCCCCCACCCCCCTTTCTAGAATCAAATCTGAAAAAATAATCTCTGTCTTCTATGACTTACGTGTCCTTAAAATTATAGGCTAAAACTCATATAAACAATGATAAATATGAATTTCAAACAACATGTATTTGGGAATTGAAATTATTTGTCTTTTGGATCATACAATCACACTCTGCGTTTGAAAACAGCTCAGGTGGATTGAAAATGAATTTCAAACTAGAATTTCAATCCAATGTTTTCTCGGACGTCCGTGCCGAATTCATTGTCTATTACATGTTTTGACTGTAACAGATGGAAAAGACGTAAGCTGTATATTTCCAATTTTGCCAGTTAATGTTCCGCGGTCTTATATTTATACATTCCTCATGCATTTTTCTTACAAAGTGTTTTTAAGGTCTATCAGTTATACTACCAAACTGAGATTATATACTAACCCGAATTTCCTCTAATTTAATACATTTTTAAGGAAGATTCATCGTTCTTTCTATGCTTAATAGTTTTAAAATACTTATATTTAATTTTTTCTTATCCTCATATATTTTGATGATTTCATTAATCGATACAAATTGAAACAAAAATATTGACCGTTAAATATGAGAGTAAAACAGTTTTTCTTGATTTTTTTTCACTCAAATTAATATATAGATTGAAAACTTACAAAGACTAACAAATTTGTAGTTTGTTTGGAAAATTGTATTTATATAATATTATATTATTAACATTTTTGAAGGAATTTATTCAATTTTCAGAATGCAATTTATTACACCATAAATATTGGCTAGCGAGAAAATAACGTCATTTTCAACAGATATGCAGTTACCAAGGGTCCAAGTGATAATTTATGAATAATCATCCAAAACTGAGCAGTTTCGATTTAAGGATTTTTTTAACTATATATACTTCTTTGGTTTACTATATACAATACAGTGTAAAAATCTTGACACTTTGGAGCGAGAAGTTACAGACCAAAATTGATTATTGCAGTTTATTTTCTTTGATGACGTTTTAATGTATGGAGAAACTATGTAGATGTATAATTTTAACAGGCATTTTTTCCACATGGTTTTAAGCAAGATTATAGAGTGAACTTACAGATGATGGTTATTTTAAAACAACTAATGTAAACTAATTCTAAATGACAAATGAGATGACATTAGCTTTTCCATTGTCAACTTTATTTATGTAGAAATATACCACTATCTTCCGCATATGGTGCTTATGTCTCCCATCTTATTGATACGCAAGAGCATGCTCTGAATACAATCAATTTAAACCAAAAGTAGGCTACTGACAAATAAGTTGATGTTACAGGAATTTCAACAACCTCGTTTAAAGTCAGCATTTCGTAAATTATATGGTCGTAACAATGACCTTGTTCTTGATTGCAAATACAATCTATAATTGGGTCGTGCTTTGACTGACATTTTTCATACCAATTGTTAGGCCTTTTTTTAATGCTAAATTTTACTAGGGATTACTCCGTCTACCTGATTAATACACAGAGCTCTTGGTGGATGTGACCGGTCGATAGGGGATGCTTACTCATTGCACCTGATCCCACCTCTGGAACTTCCTGGTGTCCGTGTTTTTGCTCTGTTCACACATTTGTATATCGTTTGCAGGTGTCTTGAGGTCAATCACTGTTCGTTATATTCACCTAGTTTTTTTCTTTACTAAGACTTTTGGTCCTAATCGCAAGTTCGTAAAACAGGACTCGGTCTTTGGGAAACTGTATGGGGAAAAAAATGAAATTAAATCATTAATATATCTTTATTATATCAAGAATTTCCATAATCCTTTAATTAATGGCCCAGTAGTTCTAAAGAACAAGTGACTCCTACTCTTTACACTATTTTATTTTTGGGGTTGGGTCGTCTTACAAAGAAACTTGAATCCCTATGGATTCAAAAAGTCTGATTGACCAGATGGAAAGTAGCTTTTAATCGTCATATCCTAATTTATATAAGTATAATATTTGAATTTTAATTAAGATTTATTTACAGTAATATTACTATTTATTTAATAAAAGAACAAAATGGTTCCGTCATATATTGATTTCAAACATGTAAATATAAGAGTATTGTACATGTATACACATGACTAAATAGTTAATCTGTCCCCTTAGTACATTGAGGACTGATCGACACTAACTCTGTTCAAAAATTCGTTTATCAACCATCTGATAAAGATGTCTAGACAAAATGAAATAATATTTACACGATGAAAATATGTGAATAACCGTTCATGACAATCGCACTTCGATACACAACCCTGTAGCACTTAAATTTTGAAAGTATAGCCTACTTAAAGAACAAAAAGGGGGATATCCTCTTGAACAAATTGTTTATCACATGTTTCAGTATCAACCCCCCTCCCCCCACCCCAAATAAATCTTACAAGGTATTGACTCTATTTAGTACGTACTAGCTGCATGAATTACTGAAGATTGTAAAAAAAATATTTCCATTTTTTTTTCTTTAATTTTCTTGATTTGAACAATAACAGTAACACCCTAACAATCTTCGAGATGTAACTATACGAGATGTAACTATACGAACTAGTGTTCGCCAGTGCGTCCAAAATGATACAACTTTGTTTTGAAATCACATCTGCATAACCAATCTTTCAGGGTAATGATGAAATGCATTTGTAGTATTCTTAAAATTTTATTCAATTAGTAAAGCACACCCTTCGAGTGAAAAAAACCCAGTTACAGTATACACCTATATTCAAATTATTCTTGGAACTGCACCCCCATCCCTTCATTAAAAAAAATCACGAAGATTACCCCCATCCCTTCATTAAAAAATCACGAAGATTACCCCCATCCCCTCATTAAAAAAAATCACGAAGATTAAATGATAAAAGAATTTCAGTCTATTTCTTTTATCTATAGTAATGCATGCACAAATGAAACACATTCTGAATTAAGCAATTCGTTACTAGGATCTTAGATTTTTCCATCCTCATACCAGTGAAAACACTTCTTAATTCTATCGGAAGTTAATTTTATCTTTAGAATTATATTCATCTTCAAGAAATCAATATAACAAAAATCTGAATCCTTGAATATTTTTAGAGAATGTTGAGAATTATTTCAAAATAGAAGAACTAAATATTTCCGAAAGCATTAAAAAACAAACACACTTACAAATCGCATAATCCCTCACAAAAATATTCTCAAAATTTTACGAAGAGGTATCATTTTGAATTTTGATTGCTGAATGAAACCCTTTAGGATGCAGAGCATCTTTTCATTGTTTACGTCTGCATGTGACAACGGAGTCTGTTTATTTATTACATTATCGAGACACTATCTCAAGTAAATAAATAAATTAGTATCTAATATGATTTTTTAAACCATTGAAAATACTCATGACACTGATATGTATCCACACGTAGATAGGTGTGTTTTACAGGTGAAAAACAACATGAAAAAAAGACAAAAAATTGTTCAGTTGTATTGCTAGTTTTTGTTTTTGTTTTAATTAATTAAAAAAAAAATATCTTTTATCTACTTATATATATATATATATATATATATATATATATATATATATATATATATATATATATATATATATATATATATATATATATATATATGCACCCTCCCCCCCCCCCCCCCCACACACACACACACTAGGATATCATTATA